CATTGCTGGATATATATTAGCATGAAAGGACCTCAAATGGCATCTTGCATAAATTTTATCTGCCATTGTTGCTATGGTTTGAATGTTTGTGTCCCCCTGAAAATACAGGTGGAAATTTAATCCCCAATGTAACAGTATTAACAGGTAGGGCCTTGTAGGAGGTTACTAGGTCATTAGGGCTCCACTCTCCCAAATGGGATTAGGGCTTTATGAAAAGGCTTGAGAAAAGTGAGCTCTGTCATGTGAGGACACAGTATCCTCCACATCCAGAGAGTGTTCAAGATGTTATCTTGGGAAAGGAGGGAGGTGGCACAAATAATGTATACCCTTCTAAGTAAATGTAAAAATGATAAAAGGAGAAAGAAAAAAATGGGTTATCTTAATGGGGCATGGAGGTGTGGTCCTATAATCTAGCACTCAGGAGGTAGAGGCAGGAAGATTGCAAATTTGAGGCCAGCTTCAGCTACATAGCAAGTTTGAGGCCAGCATGGGTGACATGGTAAGATCCTGTCTCAAAAAACACAAAGAAAACATGTTATTTTGGAAGCAGAGGTCAGGCCCTCACTAGCCACCAAACCTGTTGGTGCCTTGATTTTGGACCTTCCCATCTCCAAAACTGTGAGAAATAAATTTCTGTTTTTTTGGTAAATTACAAGGTGGTTACAGCAGAACAAACAGATTAAGGCAATTGTAAAAACAAACATAATTAGCATTAATGGGAAAGTTTTACTATGTCTTATCTATCATCAATATAGTCCTGGTAAATGTGGGACATAGAGAAGGGCACAAACCTCAGTGGCTTCAAATTGATGCCACAAAACTACAATTTATAGGGAGTTTTGAGTATCTTGATCATTGTTTGCTTCTTCTAAGGGTAGAATGAAGCCTTCCCTTGACTAACACTAGCAAAAATTACTTAACTTTGTGTTCGCAACCTTGGGAATTCTGGCTTCCTGTTCTACTAACAGAAGCACCCATTTACTTGGCCTATTCTAGTTTCGCAAAGCCTTGCTACTTACTAAGAAACTTCCCCCTCTATATCACCCCTAATATTCAGAGAAGGTAGAGAGACCAATCATAATTATGAAATCGAATTAGGAAAATTCTCTGAGACTCTGGAACTTCTGTGGTCCAAGTTATTGGTTTTAATACCAATGAGATAAAATTCTTCTGGGGTTCATTGACTCTCCCATATGAATTAATAATAGGCCAGTCTATAAGACTAGGGTTATCACTTATGATTCTTTTTTTCCCTTTGATTGGTGTTATCTTAAATTGTACTTAGTAAGGAGTTTCATTATGACATTTCCATTCATGCATATAATTTATTTAGATCATATTTACCCCTTCTATTACACTTATCCTACTCTCACCTTTGATTCTAAATTTTACATTATTGCAAGCAAATATTTATGTAATACAACCAGACTTGTCAACAGGTATGAGAAGCCTTTCCTAAACAATCTCTTGAATAACATTGAATGATATAAAATCCAGAAACATGGTCTTTTGGAAAATACATCAAAGAAATACAGCTCTGGAACCCCATTAGAAAGGATCATAACAATAGAAAGGTACTGTTAGTGAGTATCACAATAGTACAACTACAACATTTGATCTTTGGATTCATGATCTTTGGATTCATGTTTCTCAATTAAGGAATATAATCCATTCTTAAACTTATGGAAGACCTCAAGTTGAGAAGTACAGTCTTCTGAAAGAGGTATCTTTGACCTAAGACCTTGGAGCACTTAGTATGTAGAGAGTTTCTGCCCAAGATCCACAGAATAAGACTACATTTTAATCTGCATTCTTTTGCTCTTAATTTTTATTGCTATTTTCTGCCTGTTTGCCCCCTTGTCAAGGCTTCTTTAAACTATTCTATCTATACTTTCCTATTCTTAATATTACTCTTTACATCCTTATTCATTGGCATCTGTCCAATACCTTGTTGTTTACATGTGAACTGATTAAAGCATACAAACAAAGTTCTTTTGTATAAAATTTTGTTCACATTTTTATTTGTTCGTCACCCAGATTCTCTTGATTTAGCTTCCTTATAATGAGTAAGTTGGTTTCTTGGGTAAATAGACTGAATCACTAGGTGAATTTTCAGATGCCAATTCCATAATAGGTCAGATACATAGAAATCTAAAATCCCTTATTAGTTCAACTCTAGAAGGAGAGGTTCTTATTTCCACTGAAATAATATCCTGGAATTTTTGTGGGAAATAGCTTTTGTAATCAAATTTTAACAGAAATTGAACTAGAAAGCAATAGTGTGTTATTTGTTGGCTAGCTTACTTTTACAGATCTTATAAATAAGATATGCTACTTTTGTTTTACATTTGTATAATGATTTCAATACTATAAAATTTTCTGCTTAGCACCAAATTAGTTCTGATGAATGGCCCCAAAATGTTAGAACACATTTGACAGATTCAAGTGGTATTTGGGTGGCTCCCAGTGACCTGCATTGGATTTGCAGCACAAAAGCCTTCTAGTTACTATGTGCAAACTGGACAGGAACTTATTATCTTGGTAAACTGGTGTTTGTGCTTTCAGGAGACTTCTGGACATCATATAGGCTCCATTTTAGTCTATTAGTTTCTCTTTTAAGAAAAAAAAAATCCTTACATAACTAAAAATTGCTGTTTTTTTCTTTCTTTCTTCTTTTTTTTTTTTTTTGAGACAGAATCTCACTATGTAGATCAGGTTGGCCTTTAACTCATGATCCTCCTACCTCAGTCTCCTGAGTGCTAGGATTATACATGTGTCACCATATCTGGCAAAAATTTACCTTAAGAAAACAAAAATAAAATGAGAGCGGGAGAGAGAGAGAGAGAGAGAGAGAGACAGAGAGAGAGAGAGAGCCTTGATTTAAGAATCCAAATACTGACCACTCAAGGAACTTACTGGATTATTTTCTTCTCTTTTTAAGTCTTTTCAGAGACTGCTTTAAAAGAGGCCCCAAAAGTACAGAGCATTCTACATGCTGTGATTTAAGAATTAGTAGGTGAGTTAGGAGTTAGACACAGTCAACAGGACTAATGATCTTCACTTTAAAGTTTCATGAGATTAGGAAGTAGTAGTAAAGTGGCTTTTGATACAATATTGTTCTCTTAAGAAATAACATAGCTGCTTTAGGGTAAGACTTGTTCTTACATCCCTGTAGACTTCTCTGAGATATCTGATATTACTAAAAAGATTCAGTAAATGGATGAAGAAACCACTGAATTAAGTAATTTGGCTAATAATCCAATATGCTATTCTATAGACTGCTCAAATTGGAGGTGAAATCTATTTTCTTGGATTAATTTGGACACTCTTGGCTAAGAGAAAGATCGTAAACTTTGATTATAATCTTTTTTGCACAGCTCAGATGCTGATGTACAAGGTGCTGTCTCATTAAATGATTCAGTTAATAATCATCCAACAATAAGAACAGAACTGAAAAATTTAACACTTTGACAGCTTCTTCTGGATACTTGATACACTATTGTGACACTCCAAGTAGGGGTGAACATGTGGACTCATCAGATTCCCAGATGTTAATGGCCTTTCAGGTCAAACTTAAAATATCACCATGAAGGGTACCTCATACCAGAAACCATCTATAATTACATAGCTGCCTCCATTAGCATTTTAATATCTTGTTAATAAAACTTTGCTGGAAAACTTCTCTCAAAGATAAAAAATTTTATCATTGCTTATTTATTGTTCATTCTAGAAGCTTTTGGAATAAGTCACCAACTCTTAAGTACAAGGTATCAAAACACAATTTATATAGCAAGACTCTACAACTGCTTGCTTTGCTATGTCCATCAATCCTAAATGATTACATCAAGATCCTTATCCAATTCTAATCAAGCAGTCATATTAAAAGATCGCTTTAGACCACTCTTCAAAATCTCATAAATATTCTTTCTCTGCCCTTTCCTTCCTAAGACTCTGTCTCTGAGGCTAAGACTTTATTGAAGGGCCATTCTCTCTTACTATAATATGAATAAACTTAGCTTTGTTGTCAACAGGTTGCTGTGATGATTTTTTGGTGGTACAGGGGCTTGAGTTCAGGGCCTCACACTTGCTAGGCAGGTGCTCTACTGCTTGAGCCATGCTCCTAGTACCCATGCTTCCCTTCCCCGTGCCCCCATAGGGTCTCTCATTTTTGCCTAGGGCCAGCCACAGACTGCCATCTTCCTACCTACTGCCTACTGAATAGCTTGGGTTTTTAGGAGCAAATCACTATGCCTGGCTTATTTGTTGAGATGGGGGATCTTGCTAACATTTTGCTGAGTACTGGGATTACAGGCACGACCCTCCTCATCTGGTTGTTTTGATGAAATTTTTAAGGAGCCAAAGTAAAGTTAGGAATTCCTTTGGCATAGTTACCAAAGTCATCTCTTCCTTGGACAATACACTTTATTAAGTTCTATCTTTTCTTTCTCTAGGATCCACTTAGTTATACTTGTCTTTATGTTGGCTACATTTTGGAAATGTTTTCCTTGAGGATAGTTAATATAGTAAATGAAAACATAAATAAGAAGAAGGAATAGTAGGGTATACAAGAAGGATTAGTCACTTTGACTGGGGTAAACTCAGAGAAGTCACAGTGGGATCATACTTGAGCTGATTCTTCATGGATAAGCAAGAATTTTCCAGGAAAACAAGGGAGTAAGTAGTTTATACAGCAGGGAAAGGGGTTCAAAGGAATAGAGGTGGCAACCTCATTGTGTAATGGTAGCATGTCTGACTCCAAAGGAATAGAGGCATTATTTACTATTGAGAGAATGAGAAGCTAAGCTATTACTAGGTTCTATGATTGCAGTGTGGGAGTAGACATCAAGGAACGAAAAGCAAGGCAATAGAAATAAGTCTAAACAAACAATGGGAGGTATTTTACTTAAGAAGTTCAGAGGAAGAACAACTCTGTGCTGAATCCAGGCTGTTGAACTATAATTTCTAGTTCAGTAGCCTACCTGAAATGGTGAAATACTTACTTGCTCTGAGAATGTTCTCCTTGCTGCTGCACCTGGACTGGACCTGCGGAAAGAGCATAAATTCAGTAATTTAGAGCTTATAACATGTTTAGACAGATATGCATATTTCATGGGCAAGCTCCTGAGGTCTAGGAGCAAAGGTTTTATCTATGTCAGATGTCATAACATATTAGTAAAAACATTTGTTTCATATATATATTAATTCATCCTTTCCTTACATTAAAAAAAGACTGACTTCCAGACAAGATTTTCAAGTACAATATTGTAAATTGGACAGAGATAAAACCAAAAGCAATTTTTTTTATTTATTTGTTTTGAAATTAATTCAGTTGGCCCTCTATGTCTGTGGGTTTCATATCTGTGGATTCAATAAACTGTGGATCAGAAATATTTTAAAATACTGCATCTATCTTGAACATGTAGACTTTTTTACTGTTATTAGTTACTAAAGAATATAGTATAGCAATTATTTACATAGCATTTATATTGTATTAGGTATCATAAGTAGTCTATAGATGACTTAAAGTATATACAAGGATGTGCTTAAGTTGTCTGTAAATATTACACTATTTAATATAATAATCGAGTATCTGCAGATGTTGGCATCGTGGGGGTCCTGAAACCTATTTCCTGTAGATACCAAAGGATGATGGCATATGGAAAAAGACTGAATATTAAGTTGTAACTACACATTCTTAAAGTTGTGATCAAATATTCCATCATAGTCACTTTTAGTATGTATATTTCAATGAGGGGGAATAGAGAAATCCATATATACATTTACCTTTGATTCTAACAACCTTTGTGATTTACTAATCATAATAATAATTATAATATTGGAAAGATGCTTTTGTTGTACATAAATTAAGTTTAACTGATTATTTACCAATTTTTGGGTGTAAATATAACATATCAATCAGAAGCCGTGATTCTTTTATTCATATAGTTAGGTCAAAGTGGAATATTCTTTTAAAGGGTGTGAAACTATTATATTCAAGGGCCATGTTGGATGGCATTAACATTTACAAATTTCAGACATAACTATACTTAAGCTTCACACCTCTCTTTCCCACTCCACAGCAGCTTGCCCCAAATGGATATATACACAACAAATTAATTTCTATAGCTTAACACAATCTACTACTGTATGAAACAACTTATGAAAGGAATGTTATAACTTAGGGTGGGTTATGGTTGTCCTTTCCTGAAAAAAACAATTGTTAATGTTTAAAGAAACAAGAACAATAAAAATGTCACAAACATACAGACGAGGGAAACAGCAACAACAAACCAAAACCACACACACACACACACACACACTCATCACACACACACACACACACACACACAAAACAGGGGAAAATAATTCCAATGTAACTTATTCTCTTTTGGTCCAGATTGTTCAGTATATAAAGTACACTAATCTGGAGTATGACATTCTTATATTCTTTTACTCTTTTCAAAGAACAATTCTGGACCAAATGGGAAAGAAACTGATGACTGCTTAAAGAAAATACGGGAAAAAAAGACACAAGACTAAGGAAAAGAAAAGGAAGAGACAGAGGTTAAGAGAGTAAATCTAGATGATCAAAAAAGAAAGCATGAACTTATAAAGGGAGTAAAATATAAATAGAATATGTTTTGCTATTTCTTATTGAAAACTCATAACAAGAAAGTAAGAATGATTACTGAAATTGTTGCAGAATAAATAAGCAAGTTGGCATACTATGAAATGAAAATAAGTGTAACTATACCACTATAACCTTAAAGGAAAAAAGAAACACACATTAACAGACAAATTAATAGAGAAGTTTAATAAAGAGGAAACTACATTTTAAAGTGACTCAAAGAACACAAGAGAAAGCTAAAAGTGTGAGAGCAAATCTGAAAGAAGGAAAAGAGGAAAATGTTGAAAGACAAAAATAGGGTTAAAAGAAGTTAAATGGAAGTCAAGAAAGTCTTCAACACGTGTGAAACAAGATGTGGAGGAGCCCAAACCCATAGCGCAAAGCAATGTTTGCGAATGGAAAGTAGCTCCTTTGATCAGTAATAGTTACTCTTAAGTCGTAGCCTCTATTCCTCCAGAGTTCATCTTTAAGCCCTTCCAATCTAGAGTGGAGCTAGTTTATGGATAGAAACAAGAGATTTACAATGAACAGAGCAGTTCAGATGAGTACTTCAAATTGTCTTATAAAAATGTTCCAACAGATTTATATGTTTATTATATACATTAAAATGTATATATATAACAGAAATGGTGAAGAACTAGCTGGATTTTATTGTTTTAAAAAAACCAAAACCAAAACAAAATATACTCTCTCCTTCCCCAAGTGGCTTAAAAATTAACAAAATAATTCATAATGTAAGTTTTAATAAAGAAACCCATGTTGCCTTATAATACCTTTGTTTAGCACTACATATTTCAAACAGCTTTGGAGGAGACATTTAGATGATAAGAACAATTTAATTCTCTGAAATATAAGCATTTATCAAGGTAGGCAAATCACCAAAGATAGAACAGCTAATGTTTTCCCATTAATGTTACAATTCGCTGTTTGAACCAGATTTGAAGGAAACCTCTTTTAAAATCAATGATTATGGAACTTTCTTTACCTTGTGATCTTGAATATGCATATTTTTAAAAACTGAGGAAAATAATTTTTAAAACTTTACTATTTAGGTATGTGCTGGATGGCCCTTTATCTTGCCCTATGAAACTGGTCATACTTACAACATTTACTTGATTTTAGAAAATCTCAATATAAAGAAATAACTCATAATATTAATGGGATTTACTTGAAAGGATAAAGTTAAGAAACAAGTATTACTCTTTCTCACATATGTGGACTGTAAAGAAGATAATATAGGCTTATTTCGAGTTTTATGGTTTGTTGTTATTTTTGTTATTGTTTGTTATTATGGTTTTACTCAGTGGGGAAAAAAGGAAAGTATGAGAAATAATATAACCTGAGATTTTGGTTTAATATCAAATTTCTCAGGGACTAAACTGAAGGATTGAATAACTGGTATGGTACCAGATCACCTACTACTTTATTCTATTGAGTCATGTTATTTATTACAATTAACTTCTGACTGGCTTCATAGTGTTGATGAAGCCTCTTTCTACTAGAATGAAAACTAAAATAACATGTAAAAAATATATTAAATTCAGTGGAAGAATGAAAAACATAAGAGACTGAAAACATAGGTGTTCATTTACTAATCAAGATTTGAGACATTAAATAATTCATTTCAACATGTTTATATGTGTGATCTAATTTTGCTGAAGATCACAATGCTTATTAAGAAATCTTAAGATATGAAAGAGAAAACAAAAGGAGGGAGAGCACATAATAAATAGTAAGGAACAAAACTGAAAATGCCATAAAAATCTGAGAAAATTTTAACAAACAACCACAATCTTTAGATACAGTTAAAGAAAACACTTACCTTATGCTTAGGTCATAACAAGAATAGCACAGTGTTTAAAGTCAGCTCTTCATTATGGGAGGTATAATTGAAAGCCATAGGTTATAATAACATAAACTGCTACACAGAAATGAAGACTTTTTCAGCCCAACATGAAAAGCTAACTCTTATGGGAGAACATTTTAACTTATGTTTAATGCAACATGAAGAACTGAGGGTGTAAACATCAAAACACAACAAAACATATAAATCTCACACCAAAAAGGGAGAAACGACCCAATCTCTCAGGACATAGAAGATTTAATGTAACCATAATTTGTGACATATAAGGGAAGGCACATCACTCTAAGGGTGAAAGATGCATGCATAAAATGTAATCATCCATTTCTGTCCCCAACTCCCATCCCATTCATACACACAAAATCCCACTAAGATACAGGGAAAGAATGTGGTGCCAAGCTGTTATGAAGAAAGCAGGACACACGGAAGCATAGCAGTGGTCATGTAGTTTGAGAGGTGTTCTTTCCTTAAACCATCCCATCACCATGCTTATTTTAAAGAAGCCAGGAATAGATCCCCTTTCAATGCTGCAGTAGCTACGAGCCCCCAGCTTGAAGCTAGTGTGTGGAATTTTGATCACCGTTCCCTGCGATGTCAGGGGCTCTCCAGTGGAAGCCAGATTTGCAACGCCAGTTAGTGGGGGTATAAATATGTGAATAAAAAACCATCTTTTTCCTTCTGATTTCACAGAAGGGAGGAGAGAAACAAGTAAAATCAAACCTATGTTAAGGATACTTGATAACAATATAAGTATGTGTGAATATTAAAATGTAGGTTACATTTGATTACAGGTTAACACAAATCAGGTTTTTCAAAAACTGTATTTTTAGCTGAACAGGATAATTCTTAATATTTTCTTTGTAACTTCTATACAGTATAGCTCATATGGAAAAATTCTGAGCAATTGGTTAGATGGGCTCAAAGTCAAGAACAAAAGAAGTCATCTTCTTTGATGGCCATTAAGAAAACTTTACATTTTTAGCATCAATGATATTTTTAAATTAGAAATTAAGATTCTGGATATATGACTAATTTTGTAATTAGTTCTATAATTAGTTGTAGTTTGTTCTATGGTTTGGAAAGACACAACTAACAAGTTTTTTGCATTGTTAAAAGTGAAAAACAGAACAACACAACAAAGGCTACCTATTTAGAAACTAAACTTCCTGTACTTTATTTTCAATAAACTTAATAATAAGGCTGTTCCTGTCAATTAACAGGGTCATATCAACTCATAAGAAAAGTTTTAACTTTGCTTTCCTGTTGATGACAATGCTTAATATTTTTGTGAGATGAATTTTGATTCATGTGTGCATCCCAATTTAGTTAGCAGGTCTGTGATTGTTCAAAGATCATGTACTTATATTCTTTCTCCCATTTTATTCTTAGCAAGCCAGAATCACTTGACTTTTCCTGTAACATGGATTTAGCACTGTAGGTTTTAAGCCTTCTCATAATCTTATTTTCCCCATGGGAATAATAAAGGTTGTTTTAGGGTTCAAAGAAAATAACATGTGTATCACCTATCTTAAGAAAAGAGGAGAGAAACAAATG